AGCAGTCACCGGCCACATCGACCTGATCAGTGTTTGATTGTTGTGTCTTGTTGCTTTTCTTCTTTTGTCTCTCCTCTATCCACTCACCCCAACCGGTCGAGGCAGAAGGCCGCCCACCAAGAGCCGGGGTCTGTTGGAGGTTTCTTCCGTTAAAGGGAGTTTTTCCTCCCCACTGTCGCCAAGTGCTTGCTCAAGGGGGATTTGTTGGGTTTTCCCTATGTAATAATATTGATAACAGTAAGGTCTAGACCTTACTTTGTAAAGTGTCCTGAGATTACTTTTGTTGTGATTTGGCGCTATACAAATAAAATTTGATTTGATTTGATTTAATCATGGCGTTATTTCCAGGCACTGGTAAAAGCAAGGAAAAACAGTGCCTCTTTGTTTTTAAAGACAAAAAAAAATAGCCATACAAAATATTCAGTGTTCATAGATTGTATGAGTATTCGTATATTCAAAACTCATTGCCTATCCCTAATAATCAATACTAAAATGCTACACGGGTATTTACATTATAGGAACCTACCCTACCAAAATGTGTTGAGCTGAGTAACACTTGACATGGGTTTGTTTGTTTATAGATACATAGATAGACTGTTTTGTCAATTTCACCTCAAATTAATTGTAAGAAAAGTTAATGGGTACTTCTATGCAATGAGGTCAAATTTGTTCTGTTAATACTTTTGTTTCCTCTGCTTCAATCAATGTGAATTTAATACTCAAACTGAGGTTATCAAGCCACAGACTTCATAAAAAAAAATAAAATAAATAAAAATCAGTCCAATGTCTACAGACATGTCAAACTTCACATACTCAGACCAGAGTGGTTCACTTTTTCCTTTCACTTTTATCAAACATTGCTGAAAGGTTGTATTCCATTTGGTTTTGCTGTTGTTTTTGCTGCTGCTGCTGTTTTTGCAAATTTGACTTGAACCACATTTTAAAATTAGATGAAAATCACTCTCAGTGCAGCTGCTCAAGTTGAATTACAAATTACGCTCTGTCACAACAAGACATGCAACACTGACTGCAGCTGCAAATTATAACAGCTGCATTATAATTATCTTATTATGTAGCCTACAGTTTGCAGTTTTGTCTTTACAGCAAAAAAGCATCATCAGTTACCCCTACTCAATTTACGCATGAAAAAATGTTACTTTTAACTTGTGGTGCCTGAGCTCATCACTGCAAGCAACAGTGTGCAAAGTAATTCTAAACTGGAATATGCTACAAAGACAGCCACTCAGCCCACCGTTGATGTTAACGGGTGGACAGTCCATTCCTCTCTTCTTCATCAAGTACCGGATGGTCTGGAGTTGAGACACGATCTCTTTTTTCTGCTCCTGGGCCACTGACTTCACACTATTTAAAAAAAAAAAAAAAAAAGTCAAGTGGGAAAATAATTATACACAAATATAAAACACTGATCTCACAGGAGCTTTATTTTATTTGTTTATTTGATTAGTCAAGTGAACATTAACTTGATAAACACGAGGTGTAGAACTAAATAACTAGTGGATCGACAAAATTAATCGGTAACCATTTCGTTGAAAATTTTAATCATTTATTATATAGAAAGATGTCTATATAGAGAATGCAAATGCAGCATCTGTCAGACTTGGTGATTTATGACTTTGACTGATTTATGGCTTTTTGACCCTGCCCACTTTTATGCTTTGCTTCCACCTAGATCAAAGGCTGTCAACTGTTTTACCACATAATTACAAGCCTCAAAAGATTTTGCACTTAGCTGTTACTTTTCAACTTAAATGGATTTTATGATAGGATTGACAGGAAGTTTTTATAACTACCTTAAAGGGATTTATTAGGGTTTCCTGTGGGAACAGGACCGAGCAATCTAGGGTGAATACATCAAATAACATCAAAGGATTGTATTAGGCTTTCCCTAGCAATAGGTCTGACCACCAGCCTACAAGACTTAGTTCACTGCTCTCTAAACATTTTGTAGGTGTAAGGATTAATATTTCTCTCTAAACTAAATAATTAAGCTTAGAAAAAGCAGCCGTTTCTCCCCACTGTACAGGTTGGCTCAGACTTCCAAATATCCTTTCAACGATTGCTATGTGGTAAGACAACAGCCTGGAGAATAGGTGTACCTGGGGTTGTGGCTTCTTAATTCCCTCTTCATGCAACAGTAAACAATTTTCCTTGACAGCTACAGACAAAATGACTTCTTTACATTACATCTGAAAGTAGCCAGGGGCGTAAGCTCCGCCTCACATCATGCATTAGGTCAGGGTGAAAATACATGACCTTGTTAACTTTTTTTTTTTTTTTTTTAATCCATTTTACACATTTTTCCCGAGGGGTACCATTTGCATTTCCTTATTACCAAGGGTTAGACTAGTTTTTATGTCAAAACCTTAGGGATATTTATGTGTTTTCATGCATTAAAAGTCACATACTTTGTTTTACAGGTGGTGATAGTCAGTGAATTCCTGTTAGTTCATACTTTGACATCAGTGAATTTTATAGGGAACTACAGACCTTTTGAATATATCACATTCATCAGGTAACTCTTAACTACTTTTCAGATCATTAAGGCATATTGATCCATGATGGGAAATTCTGGCTATTCTTTGGCAGCCTTTCACTCTCATTAATACATGAGTGAAATACACAAATATCCCTAAAGTTTTAAACTAAAAATGTTGAGCTATCTACATTAACACTTAGAAATAAAGAAATGCAAACGGTACTGCACTGGAGAAATGTGGAAAAAAATATTTAAAAAAACAAGTTTAAAGAAGATCATGTATTCTTACCGTGACCTAATGCAGGCTATGGAGCAGTGCTTACATCCCCTGGCTACTTTCAAACGTAATGTAAAAAAGTAATTTTGTCTGTAGCTGTTTGGGCAAACTGGTTACCATTGCATGAAGAGGGGATTAAGAAACCTGAAAGGGCGCAAACCTGGGTACACCTACTCTCTATTGTCTTACCACTCAACAATTAATGAAAGGATATTAGGAAGCCTGCAAAGAAGTAACTCATCCCTATGTGGGGAGAGAGGACCAGCGGAGTATTTACTGATTCTACACTACCTATTGAACTTAATTTCACTATTTGGGAATGTTTGCGACCCAGTCGCTTGTAACACAAGGGAAGCTGGGGAGAGAGGACAGTGGTCACCGCTGCTTTTTGTGGGATATATTTTACACTACCTGATGGATTTAATAATTTCGCTACTTTGGCCTGTTAAAGGAACTTGCTCTTTAAAAGAGGTTTATTGAAAATATTCAATTTGTTTAATATTTAACTATAGAATTTCTGAAAATAGAATTGGGGAGGTGGTAGGATTTAAACTATGTTAGTTAAAAAAAGGGACTTATAAAAACATGTCATTTGTTTATATTTAATTACAGAAAACTCTGAAAAACAGAATCAATTCAGTTTTAAGCCTTATATCTACAGTATCAAAACTATTGGAACTAAAGTTCCTTGAAACTAAACAAACCCGTACAGTGGGGAGAATCAAATCAAAATCACTCTGAATCGTACTGCATCATATCATTACAAATTTTTCAGTATCATTTTTGTATCTAATCATGGAGCATTTATTGAGATATGTATCGAATTGTGTGAGAGGGAGACATACAATACATACTGAGGTACTCTTTACATTTTCATGTATGCTGGTACCCCACATGGGGATGATTAAGTAGTTGCCACTTTTGTTTTGGTTTTTATTTTTAGAGGTAAAGCTTAGCCAAGTTTTATTTTGTTAATTTTATTTACTTTAGCACAACCACCTTGTGCTTGAAATGAAAAGAAAATTGAAGTAACGTCTCAGAAATGTATTTACACTGGAGGCCTGCTAAATGAGAAAAGACAGACAGCAAAGTGAGGATCGTGTTTCAGAGCCACAGATATGAACACAAAGTATGGAGACATGGTGTTGTGTGCAGCCCTCTAATCCAAAGCACATTAAAACTGACACTGATCACCACTCACCAGTTAGTGAGTGGGTCCAGCTGAGTGAGGATGGAATTGAGCATCCTTTCAGTCTGCGTTAGCCTTTGTTCCAGCTCGTTCAACTGGTTCTCTGTACAAAAATGAACACATACAGACAAAAGGATAAAACCATCATATCATTTAATTATATATACATATGCTAATGCAAATCCAGTGCATACAGTACACACCTGCCTCTATTGATCTTTTGGCCCCCTTTGTCATTTTATCCTTTTGTTCCTGGTCACCTGCAGACTTGATCTGCGAGTTGAAAAGAACATACAATATGCATTTTGCACTTTCAAAGCTGTCAATTTTCTCCATGCAGTTTGGTGTTGCAGGTAACATTTACTTACCTTCAAAAATTTGTAGGCTGCAAACACTCCAACTCCAATGGCATAGAGTGGCATCAGTGTGAACACGTAGCCCTTGTTGCCGTTGGATTTGTACTTGTCACTCTTCAGCTCTTGCTCCATCAGCTTCTTCATCTGCTGCATGTTCTCAGGAGTTTGATATGAACCAGGGCCATTCACATTGATAGGCTGGCCTCTGAGTGCACCTGGGCCTGGACCTGCTGCCACAAAAAGATGCATGACTGGCATGGCTTTCATTCATTTTGCAGCCTGAGTGTGGGTTTCTGGGAAAAGTCCGAATTAGCTTGTGTAACTGCTGCAAAAATTTTAAATTATTAACTTGGAAGCATTCAAAAACACAGCAGTGCGGCAGTGCCCATATTGCACCCCAGTCATACCATTTTCTGATGTCATCATTCAAACTTTTTAGCCATCTACAAAATGTTTATGTTAATGTCTGGCCCTCAACATCCATCTCAAGTAATCATTGCACTGACATAACCCACAACAGTCTTGGTTTTGTGTAAAACAGTTGTGTTAAAAGCAACATATTGACTAAATAACAACAACAGTATGACTTATTAAAAATGCCCATCTAATTTTCTTACTTTAGGAACAGAACCTGGATCCTAGTATCTTAAGTTGGTCTTTAAAGGAGCAGGGCATCAATGTCAACATATATGTAAAAATGTACATATGCATGTTCCTTTTTGAAAAGCAAGATCAAGTTATATCACAATCAAACCAAGATAACATATGATGCGTAATTAATCATGGTGCTAGTTTATGCCTCAAGGGCAGGTGAATATTTGCAGATAACATTATTTTACCGTCCTACAATCTCTTGAACAGCGCAATGCAGTGTGTATGTTTGTACTCTTAACAGATTTTATACCTTACTGGGCTTTAATGGCGCTGAACATCAGTGTACCATTACACACCTAGGTGTGGTACAAAGGCCGTTCTCCACTAACAATCTTCTGTCATGGCTTTTATTTTGGGAATACAAGTCAGTACCTGCAGTAGCTAATACACTGTGTAGTGCGCTATACGGGAGAAACAGCACAGGAACCATATCACTGTGCCATTTCTCTATGCAACAAACGTGGCGTTTTATACCTTTTCTGGTGTGACGAGGATCAAATCTAGTTTCCTTCGCCCCGGTCCCGCCGCCGACGCCAAACAACCTCGGCAGAACGACAAACGAGAAAAGCAAGGCTGTAAAAGCCATGGCGACATGTTGTGATGTTGACAAAACCATTCCGTCGTAAAAGAGTCACCTGCCACGAACCAGCGCGGCAAGCGGCGGAAATAAGTGGTTAAATACACGGTAGACAGGCAGAAAACGTTAAAGCATCAAGCTAATAAACAGCGAAAACAATCTGATATTTGAGAACCAGGCTGCTGTTAGTCCAGCAGTCACGCCAGCTGCGCTCTAACACACTTCCTGGAAGGACGTTTCAAAATAAAAGCAGCAATACAGTAGATCAGGAGTTGACAAAAATTTAACTTTTTAATCGTGCTGTTGATTAATTTCGTTTCTTTTTTTTTTTTTTTACATTTGATGTGTTTATTATATTTGATAACAGCAGACCTTTACATATGATAAGAAACAATCAGTGGCAGAAACATCTTAATTAAATGAAACAACAATTTACAGGAAACCATGAAAAAATCATGCAGACAATGGTGGAAGAAGTATTCAAAGCCTTTAGTAAAAGTAGCTTATACAGTAGTCCTACACAATACATACATGTAAAAGTACTCAAGTTCTATAGGCAATCCTATTTTAGTAAAAAGTAGTATCAGTAAAGTGTACTTAAAGTACTCATTCTGCAGAAAAATTACCTGTGTTTGATATATTATAATAATAAAAATTATACTGTTAATATCAATGCTTAATGCTTTAGTTTTTTAAACTGGTTTTAGCCATTCCTAACTGTGTTTCTTAACTATTTTAGAACTGTGGTTATATATAGAGTACTGCTTCTGTCATGTGAAGCGATTGATTTATGACAGGTGGGTGATGTCATGCCTCGGGGTATAAGCCCCACCCACGCAGTTCTCAAAGTCAGAATCAGAAACAGAATCAGCTTTATTGGCCAGGTGTGTTGGACACCAGGAATTTGACTCTGGTACAGTGACTCTCAATGTGTATGTACATATCCTTATGTACGGCAATAGCAAAGGGCAAGTAGACAATATGCCAATATATAGTATTGGCTGTATAGTATAACAAAATAAACAAAGCCGTAAACAATGCAAACAAACAAAGGAATGTTCATTAGGAAAAGAGATAAGAATAAAAATAGAGTACTTAAAAAAAGAGACTTGTGCGGATCTGTAAATCTGTACAATGTATATTTACAGGTATTGCACTGAGGGTTATTGTCCAGTCATACTGTCATGGGTTAGGTGTTATTCAGAGTGACGGTTCGGGGGACGAAACTTCCAGACTTTATTGTTTTTATTATTTTACAATGTGCAGGTGTCTACAATAAGCAGTATTAACAGCTAGCAGTAATACAAGTAGGGTTTCACATGGGAACAAGTTTGACATAAAATTTTATGCTTTTATATGATCATGAAAAGATTATATTAGGCTTTCCTTGGCATCAGGTGTGACCACTACCACCACAGAGTATGGATGATGCAACAACAGGTTTTTATTAAGTATGACACATATAACAAGGCCTGGGCATGACATATAACTATTGTTTCTCTTAATTAATTTGCAGGGTTTAATTTGGACAATGATTAAACTGGATACTTTAGTTAGATGCAAGAAATAATTTTTTTTTAACTTATGAGAAACTCTTCTTTCTCCCCCAGCATAGCTTAATTTCAAGGAAGATTAACCAGCATTTTTTGATACATGTATCAAAGATTGATAGATGGTAGGAACAAAATCAAATTAGTTCTTTTTTCAGTAATTAAATAAATATTACATTAATATTGCAAATAATCCTCCCAAGCATAGAGAAATGCGGTTGTTTCATGCCATGTTAGAAGTATGAATTGAATTTAGAATAAAAATAAATATCAGTTTGATACATTAAGTAATTCTCCTAAACATAGAGAAATACTGCTGTTTCTGTCAGGGTCAGCCAGTAAGGCTACCCACAATGTTAACGGTGGACTCAGTTACAAAGCCAGGCGAGATGGGGTAAAGAATATTGCTTTACTGTATTCACTCAGAAAACACACAGTGATAGTCCAGAACCCAATATCCACGTCAAACAACAGTCCAGGGTCAATACCGGCAAACGAGCACAGCCAGGGGATCCAAAAACGGGAGGTCAAGAAGCTGGTCCAGTAATCGGTACACAGAAGAAACATTCAACACTCGGGAGGGCTAGGCAGAAATCGGTAGTCAGAAAACAATCCGGGGTCAATAACATGAATCACTAAAGCAAGGATAACACTGAAAAGTCTGCACAAAAACAAGAACAATCTGGCAGGTTACTGATGGGAGAAGGCTGCTAATATTGGGGTGAAAATAGGTGCAGGCAATTAGCAGTGATTACTGTAAAGAAACCATAACAGATAAACCTAGAACAGGAAATGGTAACAAAATAAGAGCCTAAAACAGGAAGCGGTAGGACAGAACCCTGACAGTTTCATGACAACATAGTTTCAAAGACGTGTATCCATGATAGTTTTATTTGGTAGTTTTAAGGTGTAACAATTAAAACTGACTTAATTCTCTTTTTTTAATCAAATAAATATTAGTCCAAAACATTACATAATTCTCCTAAGCATAAGGAAATACAGATGTTTCATGCCAAAATAGTTTAATTTTAAGGAAGTTCAGCCTGATAATTTGGATTAAAACAATTATTTAATTTAGGGAATAAATGCTAGTGTTTCTCCTCCATAGATAAGTTTTTCTCTCTAAATCCTATTTTTTAAATTAAATCCTACAACAGTTCTCTTCACAAACAACATTTTATGTAAATAATGGCTTTGTTAACAGCCAAGCAGTTTGAATTGTGCAGAGAATATCAGTTATCATCATGGTCTGAAACAAATAAACAATAGATGAATACACCCTGGTGCTTTGACCTGTATGATCACCTTTAAAGTGCTTTTCCTCGTTTTTTGACATATCTACAATGTTAGAACAGTGAATCATCATCTTAGACGTGACCTAAAGCTAAAAAAATGAGGTGTATGTATGTTCTAGTACTTCAAGTAGTACCCCAAGACCTTGCCACCTTTGAGATATCAGACCCTGGGGAGAGATGTCACGATCACCGGTGATTTTGTTGGGTCTACACTTTATGTAAGACTTAATCTCGCTTCTCTGGAGGATATGTCAGTAAGTCTTTTGTTAAAAACTCTACAACCCAACATGCATAAAGATGTCAGTGAAAGGTTGAGGAAGAAGCATCATGGTTTGGGGGATGTTTTCTGTAGCAGGAGTTGGGCCTCTTATAGAGCTACATGGCAGGGTGAACACAAATGTTTATTAGAACCTCCTTCAGCAACATGTGGTTCCTTCCCTGTGAGCATCTCCTAATTAGCCTGCAATTTTCATGCAAGACAATGCTCCCTGTCACACTACAAAATAAATAAAGCATTTCTTTGAAGCTGAAGATCATTGAAATAATGAAGTTGCCAGCCTAGAGTCCTGATCTAAACCCGACTGGAAAATACTTTGTGACAACATTATGGGTAAGAAACCCACTACAGTTACTGAAGGGCCTCCACACTTCCTAATTTTTGACAGCCGTAACCCTCGAAAAATTTTGTTGTAATCTTGTTTGGTGCTACAGTGGTTATTGTTCTCTAATTTTGATCAGTTTTCAACAAAATAAAGTTTTTGTTGAACTGCCTTGGTTATTTTGTAAACCATGCTAGTACACCAGTAGTAAACCCACAGCTAATATTCTTTCAAATTTTGAGCAATGAAGACAATATTTCAGAAAAAAATCAAGTGTTTTTAAATTGTCCTTTTAGTTTTGACCTCAACTGTAGTCTAAATTGGAAGGTTAGGATTGTGGTTACCTTGAGTATCCACTTTTGGTCAGAAATCCATTGAAGCGTGTGAGTTCTGAAAGCACTCTAAATAGCTGGGGAAGTGAACTGATCAGTTACAGTAACTAATCAATTACCCAGTAAAGCCACTGCAGATACATTATGATCATTTTATGCTGGGAGACTATAGTAATGGCGGTTAGTGCCTCATATAGCACCGCTGCTGAAAAAGGTATCAGGAGGTTACATGAAATGGCCTCTGCATGGTTTAAAGACCTGTATAATGGTAAATGCTACAACTGCGAGGCGATGTAAGAGAGCATTAGAGTACTTATTCTGCCACTGGATTTTATCAGTTGGATTGCATCCATGTTGTGTAGTGCCAATGAATTTATATTCATTGTGTTCACTGTGTTACACTGATGTATATTTGGTAATCACAGAACACAACAGCTGCTCAAACAAAGGCAGAAACATGCCTCGTATCTACAACTGTACATTCTTGTCTGAGAACTAACTTAAAGCTGTAATCAAATGGCAAACACTTGTCTTCATCTGGTGCTTGGGGTCATGAGCTGTTCTTTTTTCTCCAACTTTCCTCTTTCCATTATTTTGATTAACATTGATTTTTGTTTCCACAGTTCACCCAGAATTCAGATAAAATTAACAAGACTGAGAGTCAACATCCATCCATGCTACAGACTAAAGCTGATGTTAATGTCCTTTTTCTCATTCGTTTTGTAAGTATTTGGTCATAAAACAAAATACTGGACAAATGCAAACATGTACAACATATCACAACTCATCTGTCAGTTGAAATTTCACTAAAAATGGCAAATGTGCACCTCATAGTGGCAGTAGAGGAAAGGTCACAGGATCACAAACATCAGCAGGGTTCATCCTAATCAGGCTATGTTTATGTATTTCAGCGTGAACTAAAGTGGTAGACAGTCCGATAGTGTGATTATACCATCTCTCTAGCATAGCTAAAGACAAACGCAAGGAAATAAAATGATGGTTAACTGAAAATCAAAAGCATATTGCAGTAAACCAATTAATATGAGCACAAAAAGATAGGATCACACTTTTGTCTGGTTTGTTAAGTTGCAAAGAAAAATCACAATCAATAGTTTAACTGGCTGACAACCTAAAAGAATACTCCACATACAGTGATAATGTGGCCCTGTTTCTTACCCCATTCTTCATTTCCACACAGTTTGCCTGAAGTGCACGCATCTTTATCATGTTTTACGTGTGAGAAACTACAGTGGGGCAAATAAGTATTTGATACACCGCCGATTTTTCAAATTTTCCCACTTACAGAGAATGGATAGATCTGTAATTTTCATCGTAGGTACACCTAGAGACAGAATCTACAAAAAAAATTCCAGAAAATCACATTGTTAGATTTTTAAATAATTTATTTCCATTTTATTGCATGAAATAAGTATTTGATACAATAGAAAAATAGAACTTAATATTTGGTACCGAAACCTTTGTTTACAATTACAGAGGTCA